TCCCTACATCAGGCTTTTGTTGTAATCATTTTAGGAGAGCCATTTTTTCTTAGACTTCATGTCACCTAATGTGCTTGAAATTGTGTGGTTAGTTGCTAAAATTACAGAGCTGTTTTATGTGTCAGATGGTTTCAGACTGGGTAAGACCAATCAGTCTTAATCTTTTCATATCGCTCCTATAAAAGGGAGGCACATCCTTAGCACATGTAGCATAGGGTAACGTCCCTAGAACTGGTGAAAATGATCTGGTTCTTTATTTCTGAAGTACTGCCTACCTAAACCTGTATCTACACATACCTTTAAAAATACAAAAAAACACTTTCAGTTTAGGCATTCTTAATTTTTAGAAAATATAAAGTAAAGCAAAGCAAGATCAAGTGATTTACCCCAGAACATGCTGTCCAGGTTTTTCCAAAGTAGGATTTTCACTCTGAACTCCTCATTATGAATGTAGTGCATCAGATCATCCTGCTTCTGTGGGTGGAAACAACATCACTTTGGCTGGTTGTCTGCAGCTCAGATGCCTTGTCGTCTTATTTCTTCAGATGTGCCTAGTGTCATTGTTCCAGAGCAAGATATTTAACTCACAAAAAAGTGTGATTCCTAATGAATGACATAACGGGCTAGGCACCATATACTGAGTATACTATTAGCCACAGCATTTTTTATCTTGCATCATTTTTCTCAAGGTGTCTAGCAGTAGCTTAGTAAATGGTATGTGGCAGAGTAATACGCTAAAAGGAGCTCTTATTTCTTGTTTTGATTATTTGTTTGCTACAGGAGATACTACTGTTCGATGTGAGCAACTGGATATGCTTCAAGATTGGCTGTCTGAATTCAGAAAATCTACCTCCTCCTCCAGTACAGCCAATCCAGAGGAGCTGGTGGCTTTTGATGTCATCTGTGGAGATCTCAACTTTGATAACTGCTCCTCTGGTGAGACAAACTTTTCCTTTTCCTGGTGTCTATGTATTGCAAAAAGGAACAGGAAAGTTCTTGATTCCTGTGGGCCACAGCAGTATGCTAAGTTGTGACCGGCTTTTGCAAGGGATGATTTAATTGCTACAGAATCTTCTAAAAAACTAGTAGCCTAGAGAGCAGCTCACACTTACGAGCTCTGCTGAGTTTAACTATCAAGCATGATGTTTTTTATAAGGCACAGACCTCTATAATGTGACTTGCAGTCAATAATTTGGACAGATCCAGTGGTTTAACTTTACTTGAATGAGGTATTCACCTACTGTCCCAGAAGTTTAGTTACTCATGAAAAACATGTATGTTATCGAATTTCTCTAGAGAAACAGTGAAGTGATGCAGTTAAAAATAATTTGATAGTGCTTATACACAGATATAGCAGATTAATGATGCAGAGAGAACTAAATGTTGCTGCATCAGTCCTGAGAAAAAAATAACCAATGTTCTGTACTTCAGGGTTTTAATTTTAATAAATTTAAAATTTGTTTTTATATATTTGGATGATGAGGACACTAAAAAAAGAACTCCACAGAACCACAATTAACAGAGAGTGAGTTCACAGAGACGGTAGCCTTTTCCAAACCTAAATATTATAGTCTGTTAACAGTTAAAGTGCCACCACAGAGTGCAGAGCATTTTGTCTGTGTATCCTCTCTGTCTTCCCCCTCGGTCCAGCTCAGGCATCCAGCAGAGCTCCCTCCCTGCTGGCTTTACCAGCAAGGAGGGCAATCAACTGCTGGTTGGGAGCTGGCAAATGGCTCAGCAGTGCCCAGCACCAGCCTCCTGCAAGGCTGAGGGCATCAAGCCCTTCTGCATGACTGGGCCTAAAGTGAAGTACTGAGACACAAAGAGCAAGAGGGTGTCACAGGGATTGCGTCTGTGCTGAGTTGCCAGGGAGATGCGCAGCGCAGAGGTGAGCTCAGGCTGCAGCATTCAAAGTGGGATTCAGCAAGTCAGACCCGAGTTTGTGGATTAACAGAGCAATTGGTGAATTCTGTAGCCTTCATAAGAAGCCCAGGTAACTGAAGCTGAGAGCAACAACTACACAAAAAATAATTTTAACAAACAAAAAGCAAGCCTTGTGTGATCTCAGGAATAACTAGGATTCTCTAATATCATTACTTGTATCAGACACTTGGAAGATTTTAGCAGTGCTGGAGATAAGACCATCACCCCAAAACACAGTCCTTCTGTTGTTTCTAGTTCATATGCACAAAAAAAGGAATCAGTCACAACTATAGGATCCCAAGTAAACTCAGAATGGTCAGAGAAGCTGCTTGCAAGTGCTCTGACTGGTAGAAGAACCCATTATGCACTGTGGAGGTGAACAGAAATGGTAATGGCTCCAGAACATTGTAGTTAACAAACATGTATTAGGATAAAACAAAACAGGAGCAGTGGTAGTGAGTTTTTAGGAAAGGAGGGAAGAAATGTGGTCAGCAATAGGTCTTCAGTGAGGCAAGCCTGCTACACAGGGTGAGGAGGCAATAGCAGCAGGCCCAGTGAAGGGAGACAGAAGCTGGGGGCTCAAATGGACTCATCTGCTGTGATCTGACTGTTCCACTTGAGATATTGTTGGATGGATGGTGCGGCCTGGAGGCAAAGATGTCCATCAAGGAAATAAACAATCTGCTGCACACCAAAGGAGAGGCTGCCCATTCAGCTCGCAAATGGAAAGTGAATGGGGCTGTGCTGCAGGAGGAGAGGCACAACATATGGTCAATGTTCTCTACCTGAGAAGTTCTGGCACGCTAAACAACTTGCACAAGGAGTAAAGAGTATAATTAATGGTGCTGTGACCTGCCTTTAAAGTGAAATGAAAACAACTATTTGCTTTTGCAAACAATAGTTGTATATATTGCAACCACTACCCCAAGAGGATTGAAAAGTAGGTTATAGGGAAGTATTTTATTTTTGCAATGTCTGCAGCTTATTTACATCTCCCTTCCCTTTAACATTCACTCAGCCCGGAAAATGAAATTAAGCTGGCTATTTCACTTTTTATTTTTACATTGCCTTCTTTCCTTATTCACTAAGCAAAATTAATGAAACATTTTAAAGTTTTCGCCTCCACTTTTATATTACTCATTGTTTTAGTGACATTTGTTAGCATTGCAGAGAATTGAACATTTGAAGATTAGGGTTTTTTTAAATACTAATCAGCTTTCTGTAATTCTGTGTATGATTTTCTGCATTCTTTCCCACTCGACAGACCCATGCAGCAAGTAATTAAAGTTTCAGTGAATATCAAACTTCTATTCTTAGATGTATTGACAGTATTCAAAGGTCTCCAGGTCCATGAGCGACCAACCTTATGTTTATGACAAATTTTCTGTAGCTCAGTTTTCCCCTCCAGCTTTACAGAACACTATGACAACACTGATACAGTGAATCCACGCTTAGCGGAAACATGATTAAGAAGTTACTTACTGTCAGGTTGCTTTGGACTGACTTGTGTAAAAGTCTACTGTGTTTTTAAATCTTTTAGCACAAAAGTCTTCCAGTCAGGTGAGTTAAGTTTGTCTTACCAGCTGTGACTGGTCACTATCAGTGCCACAGTTGCAAATTAATCATGACCAAATTTTAATCCATCTTAGACAGCTCATTCTGATTATGTTTAGAATGGCTTTAATGTTGCAGATAATACTCCAAGGAGATTATCAATTGCCTGGCCTTTCTCTTATCTACTATAGCTCGGAAAACATTCAGTGAATTCTTCCAAAGCACGCGAAGCACAACCTTTTATCTTCAAATCTACTGAGATGTATACACATCCCCACAAACAGTCTCTTACACTGCTGCTGTCTGTCCAGCTCTCTGTTGTGTGATCTAAACACTTCTGCAGTGGTGTAAGCAACGCAATGTCAATGGCAGCCTAAGGAGATATGTTGGAAATCTCCCCTTCAATGTACAGCTAGTAACTACCAAAAACATGGCTTTCAGAGGAAGACTTTGTAGGAAAGCACTGTTATTAGAAAGCATTTGTTGGAATTTCTGATGAAGACAAGATACTGCTGTGCAGTAAAGCTACTACTGAACTGGTTCCAATCTACCCTGTATACATATACCAAGTAGGAAGAAGGACTTGCCTTTCTGGCAGAACACACAGTTGTCCACAGGTTTACAGCACATAGCTGATATGCCTTTTCTTGGGCTTGTTCTCTTCCCTACAGAGGACAAGCTGGAGCAACAGCATTCTCTGTTTACACGCTACAAAGACCCATGTCGAATTGGTCCTGGGGAGGATAAACCATGGGCAATCGGTAAGACCTTCTCTAACTGCTGCTGTGTCAACATCTACTCATCTGTCCCTCTCACAGCACTGTAAGCAGCAGGATGATGGGCTGTAAGAACTCAGTGAAGACCAAATATTTACAAGGGGTATTTCTATAATGTATATTTTATAAACTTAACCGTGTCTTGTTGAAGTATGATTAAGAACCAGAGATCTCAAACTTCAGTACACATTCTAGAATGTATGCGTCAAGCTACTTGAATGCCTTCCCACACCTATTCTACTTTTTAAATAATCTTTAGATTACTTGGGGGGGGAAGCCAAATTACTGTTTTTGTATTTTCTGCATGCAGTGAAAGCCTGCAGCTTTTGATCAGAACGTTCCATTTGCTGTTCTATAAATACTCTTAAGTGAGGATGTAACAAAGCAGTTCAACAACACTACAAATTTGTAGGGTTTAACTTATTAAAAACTTCATAGAACTCCAAGATATTAATATCTGGTAAAACTCAGTTGAATCTGGTAAAGTTTTAAATCAGGAAGTAGACTGTCTCTAGAGGAGCAATTGTAACTGAAGATATGAAAGGTAAGAATATGGAACTGTTAGAAATGTGGCTTTACTCAGTTGTAGCAGAAAAAAAACAACCAACAAACACAACAAAGACTATTTGGGCTGAGCAACTGGCAGGGCAGAGGCAATGTTTAGAAAGGTGGCAGGCAGTAGAGAAGTCTGGAGACAGGGTAAGTGAACACAAAGTGCTCTTGGTCAGAGCAGTCCCTGGCCCCCCCCACTGCTGCTGTCTTCAACACCCCTGTGTCCCTGGAAGCTTCCTGAGAGGCAAGTCCCAGGAGGTATGCTGGGATGGTCACTTTTCCCTTTCTGTTCACAGGTACCTTGTTGGATCCTGAAGGATTGTATGATGATGAAGTGTGCACTCCAGATAACCTACAGAAGTATGCAATTTCTAATCCTCCCACATGCTTTAGACAATTCTTTAAAAAGCCAAATCATTGCTTGCTAGTTAACATTTCACAAATTGAGGGGTGTTCTATGGACTGTAAAAAACCACAGAACACCACCAAATGCAAATACAGTTTTTTACTCAGGGATACCTGGTGAAGAGGGCAAAAGGAGGAAGGAAAAGTGTCTGCTTCTCAAAGCCTAACAGAATTGGCTTCACTGGTGAAAAGATGTGAGCAACTGCAGTCAGAGTTTTTGTGTATCTAGAGTTGGTCCTACCTGGACAGGCTCACAGGACAGGAACCTCCCAGCACTACTGGAAAGGGTACGCAGGCAGCTTGTCTGGAAGTCTCTGCAGGCAGCCAGGTCTGTGGTCACAGCCCTGCAAAGGAGAGCAAGCAGAAGGAAATGTTATTTTCTCCAAATAAAAAAACCCATCAAGCTTGCCAAATTCAATACACCTAAAAAAATAAAGCTCACAAATATAAAGAAGAATTAAAAAGCACATCAGACATAACTAGGAATAGGGCTTAATATCTAACAGTGATACAACTGCAGTATTATTTTTAATGAGCGTTTGATATTGAAACAGGTATCCCTGTTTGGGCTAGTGGACTTGGGAGAAAAAAAACTTAACCTGCAGAAATTACAAGATAAATGTACAGAATACCTGTACTGTTTGTTAAATAGTAAGATACTGGAAAGAAAATTAATACACAGTGGAAATGGTACATTATATTGGCACAGTTTATATGACCATTTTTACTAAGTACAGTACATTGCAGGGTTTAGACAGACAGTTACATGTAAAAGGTGAGGCAATCCCTTGAAGTCTTCTTTGTATCAGTTTTGAACAAAGAGATTGAATTCTAGACATAAGCTCTGAGTTGTTGTTACAGCAAGGCAGGCTTTGTGCATTCAAGAGCCTGCAAAATTCCCAGCACTTCTATTCACGTGTGGAGAACAGGAATGTGGTACATGTGCAAGGGATTTCTGGAAAGCAGAAGTTAATTTGGCCCTACAGTCGAATTTGTAAATGCAAATCTGTATGTGGGTGTAACATTCCATTCCATATAGCAGGCTTCCAATCGGCAGGCTTGGAGCTGTTACAAAAACCAAAAAAACTGAAAACAAACAAACAAGCAAAACCTACATTAAAAGATAATAAATAAACCCAAGCCCCCTGTGTTTGCAAGCAGCCTTTTAAGACAATCAGTCACCAAATTAATTTTGGGGTAATTTCTTGTATTCCCTGGATAGTTAGTTGTTTTCAGCAGTTAAGTCCCACTGACAAACACATGACTGATAAAGAGTCATCAAATGAAGAATGAAAGACTGAAGAGTGTTACTTCTGCTACCTGTGAGCGCACAGCACCTCAGCATGGGATGACTGAAAGATACTTGAGTGTTGGTAACAGAGCATGCGTAAGACTTCTTGCCCACTAAAGGTGGCTTTCAGTTTTCTGCAGTACCTTGTAATTCTCTTAAACTGATGAAAACCCCCCTCTATTAGACAAATTTCTACAGACCTGCAGGGTCCATTATATAGACATGTTTATAAATCAGAGATACAATCACTTCCATGAAGGGCCAAGAGATGCCCTCCCATCTCTGCAAGGGACTGCTAAACATAAAACTTGCCAGTAACTTCAGTATAATTTAAAGCCATTAATGGAATGTGAGCTTTAAAGACATTTATATGTTAAATAGCACAAAAGCTGTGGAGCACTGTCTGGCTAAAGGTATCATTCATACACAAAGCAAAACAGAGTCCAGCCTAAACTTGATCTGTTCACAGCTTTTTCAGTAATAAACCCTGATCAAGCTTTACAGATATTTAAAACAGGCATTTAAATTGGCAATATAAGCTATCTGGAGATTTATTTCTTCATCAGCACTCTCCTCTAGTTTATAAATAAAATTAAGTACTTCACATTACTAAACTAATCAGGCCATAAAAGCAGCAGAACAACCAGTTCTTAAATATCTCTTTCATGAGAAGTACAGCATACGTAAAATATCAGAATGGAAGGACATACTTGGTAAAAATAATGAGCAAGTCACTTATAATTACAGAACAATTAATAAGCTCGATGTAACAATCTGGGCCCTGCCACAGTGCTGGAAGCCACACAAGGCTTCACAAAATGCAAACACATACAGTGACAGCTCACAAAGATGATTGTCACCTTCAAGCAAAGCACTGGAGTCAGCCCATTTTCATCTGTAAACCCTTAATACAGGCTGGCACAGGAGAGCACATTACAGCACCACTAATAAACAAGATTTAAATGCCCATTTTTCCAGTCTCCACTGTTGGACAGTGGCTCACAATTCTGGGCAACAGGCTGCAACACCAGTGAGAAAAGTCTCCCTTAACTTGGGTGCTTCTTGCCTGAGAGAGAGAGGGTCTCTCAAGCTTTATAACGAGCTCCTTTACAGACACTGTTCTTTGTGGTCCTCTGCGCATGGCAACTACAGTCAGCACTGCAAACAAACCATGGGCCAGAGACATGCCTGACAGAATTTTCATACTTAAACGTTGCAGTTATTTGGCACTGCAGATCTTTCAGGAAAAAAAAAAGTTCCAATTACTTTGTATCCTCCCATTCTTTGTGTCCTATGAATTAAGACAACCATTCTGACAAAATTCAGGTTTAGTTGTGCAACTTGGTCATAATTCATTCTGTTCACTTAAATTGTTAGCATTTGATTGCTAAGCATGGCACAGCCAGCTGTCCAGTGCCTGTGTCTATGTCCTGTAGAGACAAACAGCAAACCACAGGCTACAAAGAGGTACAGGTTCTAGGCAGAAACAGATGCATGCACATTTACAATTTTTTTTCCTCATGTATTTGAAATTAACATTTCTCTTCAATGAGCAGTTACGCAGGTTAAGTGAATACCCAGTGTTCACAGACTCTTAAAAGGACATAATTGAAGCTAGAACAAATTAATCTTTTAAATTAATGCAAGTAAGATTTTTTTTTGCAGTAGTACTGCAGAGCTAATCAGCAGTTTCTTCTACTTTGATACTCAATTAGCTTTGCCAAATATAAATATAATTTTTGAAAGAGGTCAGCTCGATCAAAGAGTTTGCTTTCTTGAACCTAGAAAAAAAATAATTTAGGAAGTGAACCATTTGCAGTAACTCTTTGAGAATCAACTTGCAAAATGGGGTGCAAACAATAACCTGATTTAACACTGGTTATTAGATGTCAGTCTAAAACTGAATAATACATAAAAGGAGCTGACTGACATAAACCGGTTACAATAAACTATAAGAACCTCCAGAACCTCACGAAGTCCAAAGAGCATTAGTAGGTCTGATTAAATAACTGTAAGACCAGCATGCTGTCACTGTTATCTTTTGAAGGCACTCCAAGTATTTTCTGTATGTATTACCTGACCCAAATTTACAGATTATGACACGACTGAGACCTAATCAACTGCAGCAAGTTCTGTGTCTCTTCTGCCACAAGTCAGATCCTTGCAGAGACACAAAATTTGACAAAGAAACAATTTGAATCTAAAACATTAAAATACATCATGAAAGTCTGGTGTTTGTCTCTTGGTTTTCCTTCATTCTGTACTCTCACAAGCATGCATGCATTAAAAAAACCCAAAACCTATGCCCAACTCCATTAAATCCATCCAAAATCAAGTCTTAAAAAATCTGGGTGATGAAAAATATCTTATTTTATCCCAAGGTGAAATTAAAGGCTTTGTACCTGCTAGGACCGAAGTTCATGGCTCAGTGTTTCTCCTGCGACAGTTGATGATGTAGCTCAATGACTTAATCAACTCTTTCAAGGGAAACCACAGAACCTTGAGCTCAGGTTTTGGCAGGTAAGTAAAGGAAAATTATTTCCAAGGAGGTAGTTTTAAAAGTAGTTTATGTTTTGCACCAGGCAGCAAAACCGTAAGTCCCTCTCTGCACACACGGTTATCATGCAAACCAGCAGCATTTGCACTTAATAACAACTGTCTGCATAACACCCTACACATGCAGTAACCCTGTGCAGCTCCTCTTTTGCATGCACAGGAATGTCTACCACCTCTACCACTCCTTTGGTAAATGTTTTAAATAGAATACAACCAGTTTTCCTTTTAAACCCAAAACAGCAGCAAAACAATAAAGATCACAGCATTATTGTAAAAACAAGAGTGACAGGGACCTTTGTGGGTTATCCAGTCCAAAGTAATACTCAAAGCAGGGCTAACTTCAAAGTTAGATCAAGTTGTTCAGGGCCTTTAATAGTCTTCTGTATAAAACCTACTGTTAAGGTTTAAGCATCTAAACTAAAAATGTTAATGGCAGAGCTGAAGCTTATATGCCTGAACACAAGACTGGTACATAGAAAACTGATTCTTACTTTTGACTGCTTCTGTAAATGATCATGGGCTGGTTAATCTCAGTGCAAAAGGGGGGCTGTACTAACACCTGCTGAGTGAGTCCGTCTCTGCAGAGAAGCCTGAAGAGTATCACATAGGCTGTCATTACCAATGAAGTAAGAGATTGGGGTCCTGGAAGCAAAAACCTGATGCTCAGAACCAAGTACCACATGCCCTGAAAACAATTCCTCATCCATACCCTGTCTGTAAAGCTGCCGGTTTTAATTTCAGAAGGAATTGGTCTGATCCCAACACTGAGGTCTGTATCAAAGTTTGTTCTAACTATCCATGAAACAGTTTCCTCCTCTGCTAGATTCAGCAATACTGGAAATCATGGGAGGGACTGCAGTAAGGTACAGATAGCAGGCAAGGTCCTCCTCTCAGATGTCTGTTCTCCTGGCTAAAAGAATAGGTCCACCAGGGCAGCACCAGTGATGCCAAACTGGCTCTGAGACTTTAAGGACACTGAAAGCAGTTAGTTCAGCCTCGTCTTGGAAAATACATTTGCAAGAAGATGTGCTTTACAAGTTTAACAGTGCTCTTGCACAGCCATTTCCCTTATCAGGGATCTGGAGGGAATCTACTGTAATGCATGAAAGGATGGGATGAGCAAACATTTAAAGCACCTGTTTTGTTCTTTTATCAAATAGGGTGCTGGAAAGTGAAGAAGGAAGGAAAGGATACTTAGTCTTTCCCACCACGAAGAACCACAGTTCCAGTCAAAAGGGGAGGAAGGCATCATTGAAAGGAAATGGGAGGAGGATTGACTATATGCTCTATACTGAAGAAGGTCTCTACCTGGAGTGGAAAGTGGTGAGTTTCAGAGTTGACAAAAAGAGCCGTAACTCACACAACAGAATTGTCTGGATGGCACTGCAGCCTGTTCTGCTCGGGTTCCAACAATTCATACTCCAGGGAGGACCTGCTGCTTTCCTGTTTTCTACCACTGCATGCAAGTACTAAGTTTGAAAACCTATTACATAAACAAATTTAAGATGAGTTTAGGGATCTACTGACCTTAAAAACAAACAAAAAAACCCCACCTTGTTTGCATTCCTTAAACTTTTGCCAGACTTCAGTGTTTTGGCTGATGCTTTCTGATCCAGCAGTCCAAATATTTTTTAATCTTTTCAAGTGTCTGGATGTTGTTTTATTATGCCTATGAAAACCTACCTAAGTTACAAGTTTGTGATACAGAGGCAGAAGTTGACACAGGCTAACCAGACTAAGAACTTGAAGTGCACTGTCTGCTTCCTGGTGTAGAACCTTATGAAAATCAGAAACTAGTTCACACTTACTTACCATACTCCATTACAGCTGCTGCAGAAGAGCAGGCAATAGAGCAGTTCAGCATATCTTAGTGCATGATACCTCAATCTGTGCACTCTGTGGACACAGAAACTTAACAGCTCAATTATTTTAAGGCTTCCTCTTTCAGATGCACAAATGTCCATCATGCATCTATGTGGTACACCTATCTTAGATTTCACACAAACAGCAACAAAATCAGTATTTCAATAGGTTTGACCCAGGTTAGGTCTTTCATAAGGCTCCTGCTGTCAGCAAAAAGAACCAAAATACATCTGTGCTTCCTGCAAGGATGCCCGAAGTAAGCACCTCGCCCACTGGAGGGGACAACTACATTGTATCAATTGAGCAAAAAGGTTGCTCCATCCAGCTTTCAGAAGCTGGGAAGCAAACAGCACTTCCTACAGAACTTTCATCTGGTCCTATGAAAAATATTGCCAGAACAAAGGCTGGAATTCAGAGAGGCCAGAAGCAGGGCTCCTAATCACCTTAAGTTCCCATGAAGTTAACACCTCCATCTAATGAAGGCAGGCTTCCTTTTTAGCTGCATGCAGCCAGCCCCTCCTCCCAAGTGTGTCTGTGTCCTTAGGCACATGATTACCTCCTGCAGCGCTACAGCCGCGTCTGCCTGCAGCAACACAGATGCTACTGTAAGAAGAAAGAAAGGATAAAACAAATTTCACCCAGACTAGTTCCAACTGTCTATCAAATGAATGGTTCTCCTCATCAACTGCACCACACTGACATAATCTGTGTGGCAGATGGATTACTATCAGCCCAGCCAAGCTAGACTAGTCCCATACATCTACTAATACAGTATGGTAGTTCAAAGCAAACTAAAGGGAAGCATAAAAACCAAGTCCTAGTTTGTGGTATCAACAGTTAAGTTTTCCAATTCCTTCTGTCTTTTGTTTTCCTTCTGCAGGAGGTGGAAGAGTTCAGCTTCATTACCCAGTTAGCAGGCTTGACAGACCACCTACCAGTAGCAATGCGACTCATGGTGTCTACAGGAGAAGACGACCCTTAAAACTGACCAGCTTTGAGAGATGAGAGGAGGAAAGTGTTAATGATATTAAGAAAATATCAGAGGATAGAATGAACTATTCTGGTGCCACGTGAGGAAAGATGACCAGACCTGACCCAGCTACTCCCAGAATGTTCCAATGATGGCGGATATAAAAAGGGAAGAAATTGAAGGGGTTTTGGCCAAAAGCCACTGTCACAAGTTGCTCAGGCAACAGGGCAGGCCTCTACTCCAATGCTTTCACTGTGGACCGAATGGAACCAAGATGGAAGTTCTAATTCCTTCTGAACCAGTGCCATTCTTACTAAAACATGTTTTTATACTAATATATAGCACAATTTAGTTTGTAATTAGTCTGTGAGTAGTGCTGCTCAATGTTTTTTTGCATAATTTCTTTGTATAACTAAGAAGCTAAAGCTTTTTTCTTTTTTTTTTAGCCTGTTAAAGTTGTAGTAGCGTGCTTGCATCAGTAGCATGCGCCTGCACTGCATGCCACTCTGAGATAAAGTAGTAAGATACCATGGGGAATATCAGAATGGAAAGTGAGTTCAAAAATCAGATACCAGCCAAAGCAAGGAATTCTGGGACTGGCAAACTTTCTGTCATTAAGGATAAACCTAAAACAAACAACTCCCTTCAATTTGCAGACCAGTATCTTCCTGTCCAATTTAAGGACAGTAAAAAGTATTTGGAATTAAGACTTAAAGAACACAGTTCTACCCTTATTCCAGCTGTGTTCCCTATGAAACTATGAAGTGTTTTTTTCTGAATAATTACTGCATAATTGGGCCTTTAGTTTCCTAAGCGCAACTTATTCCCTTAAGAAGCAGCATAGGTCCCCTGAAATGTTTTTTCTTTCTTTCCTATACATGGTGCAGTTCTGAATCATGGTATGGGATGACATGTATGTTACAGTAGAGTGAATAGATTCCTGTAGTACCATTGGTAACACCAGAGCCAACATTCTGCCTTAGCTAGAAAGACTAAGTGGGAAATAGCTTGTAAAATGCATGCTAGATAGAGAGATAAACTAAACGTCAGTGACATTTTGGGAAAAAAGTGTAGAACAGCGTATGACTGGTAAGGCAGGATAACCTAGCGATTTTCCAAAGGAATCAGTACACTTGAAGGGAAAGTGTGACATGGCTACTGGAGAATAGACCTGTGGCTCTCAGCCTTGGGTAACTACTTCCCATGGGCAGAGGGTTTATGTCTGTGAGACAATTCTCCATTTGTTACACACTCAGACTTCAATAGAGGTCTTGCCACCTAATTTGTATCTTCTTTCCACTGCAGCTCTTTAAATGTGGGGCTCCACTCTGCCACCTTTTCCCCATGGCCTGACCTACCCAGCCTCTGTAACCTAAACAAAAATACTGAAAAGCCGGGAATCAGGTCTATAACGAGACTTGGCATTTTTAAAAGGATTTAAATTCAGAAGAGTTTGTGTTGCTGGGAAAACAACGAGACCCCTTGCGTGTTAATCTCTACTTAGTTTCTTCTCCCTACTTCCTGTTCAATTTTCATGCTATTTCTGATTACATTACAAATTCCCTGTGTTAAAAAAGAAGTGAATCCAGTACTTCCTTACTACATTAAGTGAACTGTTTTAATTACAGTGGCCACAAACTCCTGAAGATATCCTTGTTTTAGTTTGGCTTACACTTGCTAGGAGTGAGTTTGAGCTAAATCAAAAGACTTAAACTAGAAATCCCTGTCTGTACAGCCTCTGGAACCGGCTTAATTAGCTACAGTAAACAGACAACTTCTAGTTGTATCAGCCTGGTTTTGCAAATAGAGAAAACTCATAAAAGTACTGGACTCACAGTATTGGCTAATTCCAAGTAGGGGTAGGCCACTTCTCACACTCTCCCACTGCACCTGGTCTTGATACATTTTATGCCTCATTTTCCAGTCCTGGCATCCCTTCAGTGGAGACTGCCTCTTAAAAGTGTACAGTGCCAAACCACAGGGTTGGCTGCAAGCGTAACCCATGGAGACTAAAAATGGAACCAGACTCAATTCCCCTTTTTGATAAAATTAGGAATTCAAATTTATAGCATCAGGGACTGTAGTGTACTATCCAAGGGCACCACCAGTTTCCCACTTTGTATGTTTCTCTTTATACAGAGGATGCACGTATGTGCAATGTGTTTTTCTTATCTTTCCACCCAATTCAGAAAGACTTGTCCCCAAATCAATACTTTTAACCCTATTTTCTACCTTGCTTGTATTTTATTAACCTTTTTTAAAAACCCAAACAGTATCAGTAGCAATTTGTGAGCTATCCAACACCTATTTCTCCGTAGTAAGATTAAATATAAGGTACAGTATTTTTAACAGCTTTCCTAACAATGTAAATTACAATTTGATATCAACTTCACTAAGGATCAGTTGCAGGAGCTGAGTTTGACACTGTGTGGGATATGATCATAAAACTACTGCCAAACAGTGTTACATTTACAGTAAAACCTACATGGTATAAATTACTTCTAAATTAGTTCTGTGGCTTTATGACTAAAACCAGGCACTTCTGTCAACTTTTTGAGATACACTGAGAAATATTTTTTCAAATTCGAAGTAAACTGTTTTAGATTTTGATGGTCTTAATTTCTCAGCGATCAAGGAATGGATAGTTGTAAGATGTTCACTTTAAACACTACACATACACTTAATCAGTCTAGGTAGTTCTTACTAATATACTGTCTTAAGGATCTAACTGCAAGAGAGCGACGCTGGAAGGTACAGCATTGTGGCACCACAGTAGAGATGCTCCTTGCTATTTTTGCATTGATCCCGTGCCTTCTGATGCCTTGGTATGCTTGCAGGAGTCAGGGAGCATATGTACCAAACTAACCAACAGGCTTTCCTTTCCAGAAGAGTAATGTCCTGGAGAAAAAGGAGTTTTGTCTACACTATCCGCTACCACAGTTCCATATACAGTCTCACAAAAAAATGTCTCTCAGACAATGCCTGTTCTGTCAGGATATTGATCATTACAAGCCTTAGACAGATATAATGTAATAGAATATGCATTTTTTTTAAAAAAGGGGGGAGGGTAGCAAGACACACACAGGAAATGGATGACTTTTTCAGATGTCAATCACACTTTGCTTAAGGATAGCATGACCCAATTTATTAGTACAATGTTATTTGTATGAAATTTGCATTAAGTTTATTATGCTTAACCCACTTTGTACAGGAATTTCAGGTATCTTCAAGAAGTGGGCGATAATGCTTTTCTTGGTTTAATAACTGCCACTCAACAGGGATACTGCTGATGAAGTGTCATGTTTTTATAAAAGCTAGGTCACATCTTCTGTTTCTCATGTTCAATTTGCATTTTACAACTGCACTTCTAGAACAAACAAACAAAAGACACAAATGAGGACAGCCAAAAACTTAACAACTTCCAGAAGTTTCAAAGATGTCAGGTCCTTTCAAAGTTGCTACTTTTAGATCACTTCAAAAATACAACCTAGAGAAAACAGTATGTAGCCTCACAGGCACATTCAGATCCAGTTAATCTCTGCACTGTCTGTCCAAGGGATACGTGATCCGCCTGCTTTGCACCACAGCTCAGCATCTGAGGAACAGGGCAGCACTGCCTAGCATACAGCTTCCTGCTATGTGAAAAAGCATTTACTATAACTAACCGAAGTTGTGGCAAGCTAGTTTTATTCCATCCCAAACTGGATGCTTAATAGAGGCTGTCTAAAGCAACCAAGCAACCTGCACCACACGTGGGTGCCAAGAGAAGCCTGCAGCCTGCTGAGGCGTGGCCTGCTGGAGAGAAAACCCCTGAGAAAGCTGTCTGGTGTGACACATTTACCCATCTTGTGCCAGTATTACGGCAAGGCTTTGTCCCAGAAATAGTCCCAGATAGTCTAGCGAGCCCCTCAGTCCTACTTGTTGGGTAAGAGAGTAAGATTTAAGGAACTCAGAATTCCAATAAGAAATTACTTCTTTTAAATGGCCTTTGTTTGGTGGTCCAGATTAAACAGATCTGACTGTCCCAGTTTGGTCTCTGAGCTGCCCTGGAATCACACAGCAGCACATCAGTGTCAACACATATCATCAACTCAGAAATGAAACATTTTTACCTCCTCCTGGCACTATAGGATGAGGACAGAAATACAATTCAAGCACTTTGAAAAACTCCCAATTTTATCATCCATGACAATGAGGATCAAATTAGAATCACAGAACTATTCAGGTTGGAAAAGACCCTTGGGATCACCGAGTCCAACCATTATCCCTGCTCTACAAAGTTCTCCCCTAAACCATATCCACCAACACCATGTCCAAACAACCCTTAAACACATCCAGGGATGGTGACTCAACCACCTCCCTGGGCAGCCTATTCCAGGGTCTAACCACTCTGGCTGTTAATAAATGTTTCCTAATGTCCAGTCTAAACCTACCCTGTTGCAGCTTGAAGCCATTCCCTCTTGTTCTGTTGCTAATTACCTGTGAAAAGAGACCAGCACCAACCTCTCTACAATGACCTTTCAGGTAGTTGTAGAGACTGATGTGGTCTCCCCTCAGCCTCCTCTTTCTCAAACTAAACATTCCCAGCTCCTTCAAGCATTCTTCATAAGATTTATTCTCTAGGCCCTTCACCAGCTTCATTGCCCTCCTCTGTACTTGCTCCAGCACCTCCATATCTCTCTTGAATTGAGGTGCCCAAAACTGGACACAATACTCCAGGTGTGGCCTCACCAGTGCTGAGTACAGGGGGACAAATCACCTCTTTGTTACTGAACGTCTCATTTTTCCACGCCATCTTGTTTAAAATACAATCTTGATGCTTTTAAAGACTTGTATTACTGCTGAGGTTTAGAAGTCCTATAAGAAGAATAACCTTTTTTATTTCAATGATTTTTCAGTATTGTATCCTTCTGGAACCTAATGTTTTTATATGGTAAGCACACACCTTCTGACATTTTGTTATAAATGTATTAAAAAAATAAAAATTTAAATATTTTCATTGGTTTCTTTGCCTGCAACAAAACCACAATCTCAGACCTGATAAAAATAAGGTATTTTGAACAATAGGGAGGGGGTTTTGTCTTTTATTGGTGCTGAAAGGAATAACTGGTTGATGCAAACAAGGTAATAAAATTTCAAGGCTCAAATAATTCTGTGCAGCTCACTTTTTCTGGTTTTGTGATGTGGAATCTGACAGCACTAACTGAAATCTGACTCAAAGGGGCCAGGTATGGTCTCACTATGCTATGCCTGCTCTAGTGAATCTGCAGAAATTAAGAGGTGAAAGAAATAGGTGCTTTTAACACACCCTCAACTGTGGCCTTTACTGCTCTCAGACATCCCCCTACACAGATGCACCCCCCTCAATTTTCAAAGAGTGCAGCTTTCTCCACTGCTGGACAGGTGATTTTGGTTTGTATTCTGATGCTGCCACAGCACTGCACTTTGATAAACTTCCTGTTCCAGTGGTGGACCCCTAGTATGTGCCTCTCCTGCCATACGTGATCTATTTTTCTAATGTTGCAGTTTGCATTCTGTGAGTGGCTTGGAAACTGCTATAGAAGCATAAGGTAAAACACAATTATTTCTTGTGCAGTGTGCATCTTCCAAACATTTAACTAAGAAGAACAGGTACAGAAAACTGAAACTCCTTTCTGCTCCTTCTGCCCCAGGAGCTGTAGTTTAGTTCATTATGAACTCGTGCCTACAG